TTGTTGGGGAGGCTGCGGTTGGGGAGGCCACTGCGGGAGAGGGAGGCGTAGAGAGAGAGGATCTCGCGCGCGACCTAGCGGCGGCCGGTTACTCGGCGGAGGAGATCGAGGAGGCATTGGAGGGGTACCCTGGGAGACAGGGACGAGGCACACTTCGACAGGGGATGCGCTCACGTCACGGGGTGGATTGTGGCACCGCACACGTTTCTCCCTCGCTCCCGTTGCCACGCCCAGATCCTTCTTTGGCGCTGGGCATCGCAGGCCCCGGACCGCAGCTGCCTCCCGAGATGGACACACAGGGTGCCAGTGCCCAGAGCAGCGGCATACGGGAGCACGACTCCCGAGGTACTGGGCTTCGCCATGTAGTTCCCCCTGTAGTTTCTGGCGCACGGGCGATGATGCCATTGCCGCCGAGAGACCCCTCAATCATCATCGAGCCGATTCGACCATTTGTTGGTCGCAAGAGAAAGACAGAGAGTGTCAGCGGACAGGAGGCAAGGGGAGTTGCAGGTTGTGGCAGAGGCAGAGGCCGACCATTGGGAGAGGGGAGGGGTGCGGGCGAGAGGGTTATGTCTGCAGCGGGACGCGGGAGAGGAGTGGGGCGTGGGAGAGGAGAGGGACGTCCCAGAGGCCGACCACCAGGATGGGGGAGAGGAGAGGGACGTGCCACGACACGAGGGGGCGGTGTACCACGGAGGAGAGCCCCCGCAGATGGAAGAGACGTTCATGCGGACGCAGTGCCGGTCACATCATCGAGCACCGAGGAGGAGGAGGGCATAGCATTGCGCATCACCAGGCGGCGCAGGGGAGAGGTGACGACGGGGGCAGCACTAGCATCCGCGGCCACATCAGGCTCGAGCAAAGCGGCATCATCAGGCGACCCGGATTTCGAGGGGGGTGTTGAGGTGGACGAGGAGGAGGCAGAGGCCGATGCAGACATTGCGGCGGGAGAGGGTGACATGTCAGGATAGTTTTGTACATTTTTTCGTTTTGTGTTCAGGTGTGTGCAGTGTGTGCAGTGTGTGCAGTGTATGTTGTGTGTGTGTGTGTGTGTGTGTGTGTGTGTGTGTGTGACTTGCTGATTTCTGGTCGCATGTAGCCTCTCTCTATTGAGGCTGTACTATAGTAGGACAGATTCGTAACTGTGGATAGCAGACCTGGGCTACCCTAGGACAGACAGGCCACATGGGCCTAAGCTAATAGGCAGTCCCGTAGCCTGAAGCCGGGTGGCGCTGGCCTCTGGAGGCTGTAACTGGGTGGCGCTTGATGTTTTTGGATCAGTCTGCTAGTCCATGTGCAGGCGAACGAAATCAGGGCGCAAGACCATGTTTCAGGCCCTTCTGAGGTTGTCCTGACAAATTGAGACTCTGAGTCTAATAAACAGTGTGATGCTGGGTTTGGACTATCATCGTTTCGTTGTTTCATGGATGTGGTCTACTCGGCTTCCCTTCGTGACTGGTTGTTAGGATTGAGTGGAGTGAACTGCACTTTCAGTGTACCCTGTCTTTCGCTGTGTTTATCTCTCCCCGTCCGGTGTGATACTCCTATCCTCTCCCCTTCCTTCTGTGTATGTATGGGCATACCTGGAAGTCTATGTGTGTGAGTGTTGGTGTTTAGACAGCGAGCAACCAGAATCATAACAGGAATGCTTGGAGCATGGGGGCGGCAGGGTGATGTCTTGCAACTCCAGCCAGTTGTCATTCCCATCTCTTCTTCGTCTGTTCCTTCCCCCCCTCTTCATCTGTGTATGGTTGGGTCCTTGCACACTTCTGTGTATGGCGCCAGGCCTGTCTCACCTCACAATGATGATGTTGAACGTTGAGTATGAACTTCGACATTGATTGGTTTAGCATTGGTATTCTGGCATTCCGCTGAGCTATCTGATA